GAGAGAGAGAGAGAGAGAGAGAGAGAGAGAAAGAGAGAGAGCTTGCAACAACAACAAAAGCGTCCTTAGAGAATCAACCTCATTAGTATGGCCCCACTGTCCTTCCTTTCCAGTGCCGGGGTTGGTCGAACAGGGACGTTTATTGGAGTTGACTACTTCCACAAGTACATCAACGACCTGGTCCTCCGCCAAGGGGCCGGTTCCAGCGACTATGGGGATGCTACGGTGGACATCTTTGGCAGGGTACTCGCCATGAGAGACTGTCGCCGGTTCATGGTGCAGACCAGGGTAAGTCTTGTGTCCTGTCTTGGTCGTTTGTTTTAGTAAGGTTTTGCGGCGCTCGCAACTGCATAATAAGGTCATAAGAGCGCCTAGGGGTGGATGTCAACAGAAAAGTCCAAACAGGGAATCAGGCTTACTCTGCTCACCCCTCTAGCCTCAATAGCACAAAGTCTGCTTCGACTATTAAGGAACCCCGGAAATAGCTGTGACAAAAATACAAAAGAAGTAGAGGGAAAGTGAAGACAGTAAGGATGAGGAAAGAAAAAGCAGCGGTTCCCCTTATGTTTTTCCGCACAGTATGAGCATGACATTGATCATTGATAGGCAATTCTACTATGCATGAGAACATTTTAATACCCCTCCTTTGGGAATGGCCTAAAGACATTTCAGTCAGTAGCACTGCCCTGGGCGTGTGTCTTGTCTGTTGTATGTTATCTGTTGTTTATTATTTGTTGTCTCTCGTCTATTGTTTGCTGTTTGGTGCCATGTGTTCTCTGTTGTCTATTACCAATGTTTTTGTTCTGTTATCCATTTTCAGTTCTCTGCTATTTGCTGTCTTTTGCGTGTTGTTTGCTCGCTGAGTCCTCAATCTCAGTTATGTTGATAGGGTCGTATTTACAATTATTTAATCTCTCTTTGCGGGTGGTTGGCCGATGCTCTAGGCATGTGGCTTGCTCCTTCTTTCCTATCAAACATCTGTGGTCCCTCTTTCTTTTTTTTGTGTGTTTGTTACGGTACTCTCTTGTAACTCCTCAAATCTTCGGAACTTATATGGCCTAATACTAATAGTGTTCCAAGTGCCGTAAACTCTTCTTACATTAAACAACCCCCCCCCCCCAAATCCCTAAAGTCATTCTAACCCTCCTTGCCTACAGCCCCAATACGTGTTTTTCTACGATGCCGTACAAGCTTTACTGAACCGAGCCTTCCATGACAACGAGGAGGAAGATGATGAAAACGTGTACGAGATCCCGGACCTTGGGGGAGACGGCAGGGGTGAAGAGCAGGAGTATGACGACGTCGGTAAGACAAAGTTGTAGCAGAGACCTAGCTACGTTTACATTGCTAAATATAGGTCTCTGGTTGTAGCCTTTTAACTGGAGAGGGGGGGGG